CTGTGGGAGTGGGAGTGGCCGCAGCCACAGCCATCAGTCAGTGCCGCCCCACTTCCGCAGGCCGCCCTCTCTGCCAGGTCACAGGCACCCGGAGGGTTTGGCTGTACAATTAAAGAGGCTTATCCAAGATTTATAGCGGGATTATGCCCGCAGGGTGTTACCAACGCCAGCCGCTGGACACTGTGGTCCTTAGAAAAGGCAATTAGAGGCCGGGTTATGTGGGTATAAATATACAGACGCCACCCCAAGGTCGAGGTGCCACAGGAGCTATTTAGAGACACGGCCTTGGGAGAGGCCAGGAGAGGGGCGGAGGAGCCCTCTCTATAGGGAGGTGGGGCTGCCTCCCACTGCCCGCTCCCCGCTACCTCCAGACCGGGCTCACCTGCTGCAGGAGCCACCGCAGGCAGAGAGGGGCTTCCCTCCCTCAGCAGGGCCACCCAGAGGTGAAACCCTGTTATGTCAACCGCTTACCGCTTACCGCTGGCTGATGGCTAGAGTTTCTGACGCAATTAAGGGAAAGCAGTGAGCTTAACCCCGGGAAAGAGGCCTGTTGGGGGGCGGGGGGGTCCTCAAGGAGAGCAATTCACTTTCCCACGTTCCTCAAATCCCACCCACAGCACCGACCTCACGGAGGGGGGGGCCAGCAGCAAGATGTGACCCACGGCCCCGCCCGCACCCACCAGGCTGCTCAGTCTTAGGGACTCCGAGTTCCTGATCCCGCAAAGGTGCTTCAAGAACCTGCTAGCTGGCCCCTGACACCCCTTAAAAAGGCCACCTCCTTCCCCTCCCCTTCCCCTCCCCTCTGCCTGAGAGCAGCGGCTATTCCACCAGCTCCCACACCAGGAACACTGCCAGAAGCCAGCAGCAAGATGTGGCCCACAGCCCCGCCCACACCCCACCAGGCTGCTCAGTCTTAGGGACTGATCCTGCAAAGGTGCTTCAAGAACCTGCTAGCTGGCCCCTGACACCCCTTAAAAAGGCCACCTCCTTCCCGACCCCTCCCCACCCCCCCATCTGAGAGCAGCGGCTGTTCCACCAGCTCCCACACCAGGAACACTGCCAGTCCCTCTGCGGCCTGGCCACACCTGGCCACCTCTGCTAAGTCATTCACACCCATCCTCGCGCCCAGGAGCCACCCAGCTCCCGGCAAGGCCATGGTCCAGCGCTCAGGGGAGAGGCCGGGGCCCACAAGGGCAGGGCCCAGGGCAGGCAGAGCCCACACAGGACCCAGCGCGTGGCTGGGGGGCAGTGCACAGAGTGGTGCTGTGGCCGGCCCCCCATTCCCGAGATGACCCTGCAGGCGGCACCTGACTCACCGTCCTCTCGGGACTTCTGGATGAAGGCCTCCACGCCACTCTCGCCGTAGCTGCCCTCCGAGGCCAGCGTGGACACGTAGTTCCACTTGAGGGCACGGACGATGTCCACCATGGCCTGGGCCTGGTACGTGTCCGAGGGCACCACGCGGGAGAAGAAGTCGTAGCGGCTGTTGTCACTCAGGTCCGGGGCTGTGGAGGCGTAGCTGATCTGGGGGATCTAGAGGTGAGAGGGGCCACTAATGGGGGCGGTTGGCACCCCCACCCTGCCCATCCAGCACTGCACCCCGACACACCAACCTCCCTCCTGTCCCCCAGCCCTTCCTGCGGGCACTGCCTCCTCAATCCTGGGGGAGGCCCTGTGACATGGAGGAAACTGAGGCCCAGAGAGGGTGGGCAAATGGTTGGCCGGCCTTGCCCCTGGCCCCAGCCCAGGTCCTGATGCCGCCCACCTCCAGTCAGCTCTCCCTGCCCCTGTCCCTGTGCCCTCCCCACTCCCAGCAGGAGTGAGGCCGGCATCAGGTGGGGAAGTGCCTGGCCTGTCGGCATCAAGCCCTCCTCCAGAAAATCTCCCAGCAGCTTACCTGGTCCTGTGGCTGGTGGTCCCCCAACAACACACCACGAAGTCACCGGGAATCTCACATGTGCACACACATAAATGTGTGCATGTTCACATGTGCACACATGCATCTATACATATGCACACATACATGCATGTGTATACACACCCCAGGGACCTCTGGGTGCCTGGATTTACATAAAGAGTTGGAAGATCCCAGCCAGGGGAAATCCCCAGGTGTGTGCGATGGTGTGGCCTGGGGATGGGGTGGGGGGATGGTAGTAAGAGGGGACCCTGAGGGTCCATCTCCTTTCCCCAGGGAGCCCCTGGGTCACCACCCAGCAGACCCTGGACCCAGGCTCCAGCTCCCCCTGCCCCACCCTACCCTCCCATGGATGGAATCCCAGGAGGCCAGAGCAGGTGGGGCCTTCGAGAAATCCCTCTCTCATAATCTGGGACTCAGGGCCGAGAGGCAGGGGCCCACCGTCCCACAGACTCGAGGCCTGCTGCCCCAGCTCCCACTTACCGCGGCCTTAGAGCACCTTCCTGGCCCACAGCCCGCCTCCCGACCCCCAGGCAAAGGTGAGATGCAGAGCCCTTAAGCTGCTGCCTCCCGTGGTTGACATCCACCACCTTCAAAGCATGGGAAGGGGCCCTGTGGACCTCCTGCGCCTCCCCTCCTCCCGGCCCGCACTCACAGCCCCAGTGCCCTCCGCACAGGCGCACTGCCCGGGCCCCGCAGGGGTGCTCAGTGCTCCACGCTCTCCATGCCCACCTCCGTGCACACCAAACGCACTGTTCCTGTGCCCTCTGCCCTGCCCTCAGCTGTCCAGGGTGACAGGGTGAAGGGGTGGGCATAGTGATCTGGGCTGATGTCCAACCTAAGATTTATCCGCTTAAGGAATCACCAAGTCAGTCCTGGCCACAAACACTCGTGGCCAGAGCTTTCATCCCTGCGGCAACTGAGGGTGGGAAATGTCTGGGCGAGAGGCTTGGGGACGCCCCCAGGACAAGCGGTTGTCCACTTAGCCTGTGCCTCTGCTGTCCCCATCCCCAAGGAGAGTCAGACGCACCTTCCACTGAGGAAAAGGGCACGGCCAGCTCGGCCCTGGCGATGTCCCCAGCAGGGCCCCACTGAGCTCACTCGTGGGAAGGGACCCAGTCCCTGGGAGGCTTGGGGAGGGAACCAATGATTGGGGAGGCCCAGGGGAGGGAACCAATGATTGTTCTGGGTTTTCTGGGCAACTGAGCCCCTCTCGGTGCAGTTCTGTGCTCATACACTACAGCACCCTCTGTACAGCAACACTTGGAAACAACCTGGCGGAAGACGCTATGGCCGTACAAGGAATACTATGCAGCTGCAAAAAAGAACAGGCAGCTTTCCAGGCACTGCTCTGGGCCGCTCTCTGAGACACGGGGTCAAAACAACAGCGACAGAGGAGCAGAGTGCAGCCCTGGCGCCCCTATTGCGTGAGGGGCCGTGCATACCCGGTCATAAACACACAGATCTGCAACGAAACGGTGAAGGCGTCTCTGGGGAGGGAACCCTGGCTGGGGCAGGGTTGGGCAGGGACCTTTCACCTTATACCCTTTGTGCCTTTTGCATGTGGAATCATGCAAACATAGCCCTTAGAACACAAGCACCTGTGAGTCTTGGTGAGCACGTGGGCTGCTCTCCCGCCTGTGCCAGCAGCGTCTCTGCCTGGGAGAGCACTTAGCTGAAAATAGCCCCTCAGGAGTGACCAGGAGGCTCATGCACTGCGGAAAGACAAAAGCTGCTTCCGGGCTTGAAACGCAATGAAGATGAACGCCAAGTGCATCTGCGTGAGTGTGTACATGTGGGCACACACAGGCACACATGGAAGCCTGTGCCCTGAGCTCACAAGCACACAGCACACTCCCTCTTTACCCCTCCTACCAGGAGTCATTAGTGACGGCCTGCCACGTGTAGCTAGCGCTGAGCACTGGAGACAGACGGTGACCACTGCCCTCATGGGCTCCCGATCTAGACAGAGACGTCAAAGGAGGTGATGCAGGGCCGTTAGAGGGGACGAGGGTCCGGAAGGAAATGGAAGATGGCGGAGCAGGGGCTGCCAGAGAGAGGGGCCAGGGAAAGCTCCTCTAACAGGTGACACTGGAGTTAAGATCCCAAGGAAACAAAGGTCGAAGCCACATGGGTATTTGAAGGAGGGCATTTTGTGCAGAGGAAACAGCCAGTGCAAAGGCCCATGTGCATGCATGCATGTGGGTGCACATGTGTGAGCAGGCATGTGCATTGTGTCCATGCACACACGTGTGTTTGGAGCCTGACTGTTCTCAGCTGCTGCACTAACCTGCAGCCACACACACCCGGTCTGGTGGGTCTGCCGGCACACACTCAGGCCCGGGACCACTGGCTCCCAGACTGACAGCAGCCAGTCCTGCCCACACCGCCCTGAGAGGAGAGGGGGCGTCTGGGCCCCCTTAGGGCTCAGTCTCCTGCAGCCGGTGCTTTGTTCAAGGCTGTTCCGAACAGGCAGGAGTGAACCCCCTACCCTGACCTGCACAAGGCCGACACCCCAAGCCAAGTGGGTGGATGTCCACCACCGCAGCTGCCCCAGGGCCACCTGACAGAAACCCCACCCTCCTGCTGTGAGCTTCAGCGTTTAGAAGCACCTCCTCATCCCCTTCCCCATGCTGACACGCACGGAAGCTCCCAGGGCACACGGAAGCTCCCAGCGCACTCTGGAGCCAGCCTGCCCGGGGCTGTGCCACCCGCTTTGCCCCCCTGCGAGACCTTAGGCAAGCGAGAGGCCTCTCCAGGCCTCAGTTCCCCCTCTAAAGTAGTCATAGCAACAATGGAGAAGACTGTATTAGTGAGTGCCCGCAAAGTGCTTAAAACACAGAGGCCCTCAGCAAACTAGAGATTATTACTGGGAGGGAGGCAAGGCTGGGGCCCTTGTGCCCATTTCACAGATGAGGAAAATGAGGCTCCGAGAGATGAAAATGTCCTGAGTATCAGAGCCAGGTGATACCTGCAGCAAGGCACAGGGCGCAGCTCCGCCTCCCTGTTCACCACCCGAGTCCGGGCCTCGGGCGCTGCTCACCCGCCCAGCTGACCCTGCTCCCTCTGCTCTGCCCACAAGCCAGGCCCTCAGCATCGCTTTTCTTCAGATGAAAGGCAGCCGGGCTTTCAGGTGCGTGACAGCTACGCGGGCAGGGATGTGCGGGTCACAGAGCCGGCCAGAGGCCAGCTTCCAAAGACCCGGCCTGCACGGTCCCCACCGACACCCCTCACCCCCGAGCCAGAAGGGCCTCCGCTGCAGACACTGCCCTGAGGAGCAAGAGGTGTTGCCCGTGGGGAGGGGTGTCCCACTGAGAACCCGCACAGTCGGCGCGGCACACCCCATGGAGCAGGAGCACCTCCTGCCCGCTGGTGCCGGCACGGACGCTCGGCCGGACGCACGGACATAAACAACCCACCTTAGAGACTAGCCCGGGGAGGGCGGGGCGGGAAAAGGAGTCCTCCCAGCTGAAGCGCTGGGTGTGGGGCACCAGGAACTCCTGGGGCCTCGCAGGGCAGCTGGCCAGAGTCCACTGCTTGATGCCAGGGAGAGTCAGCCCTGACTAGGCCCGGGGTGACAGCGTCAGGAGCAGAAGACAAGAGTGACCCCAGCCGCACACCCACACCCCTGGGCGCCCCCACAATTACCAAGAACAGAGAAGGGACTTCCTAAGCTTGGGAAGTGGAGGCGCCCCGGGCAGGGGACTGGGCTGGGGGCCAGGTGGCCTGTGGAAGGACAAGGACAGGCCCAGACAGAACTGCCTGCCACCCGCCCCACAGCCTCCTCAGGGCCACACACTAAGGGCCTCCCCCACACTCACTGAGCCACTGGGGGCTGCCGGCCCTCCCTGAGGGCATGCGGGTCAGGCGTTCTCATTAGTCAGACCTCGTTACCCCGCTCTGTGGACACAGACCGGCCGTGACTCCCAGAGCGAGCATCCGATCACCCAGGCCTGGCCCTGGGCCAGCAGACCTACCCCCCAGTGCCATCGATTGTCTGCCCAGCCAGCCACCCGGGCAAGCCCTGACTGGGCCTTCTGCCCAGAGCTGAGCCTGCCGGTCTTCCCACCCCAGGGCACTCGACCTCCCAGCTCTGCCCCTCCCCAGGCCTGGGGACTGGGCGCCCCGGCCTCCTCTGCCCATCACACAGGCCCCTTGCTCTCACATGCGGCCTGCAGCATTGCCCACTGTAACTGAGAAGTGGGCATGAGAGTCTCTGAAGCGACAAGGCACTTAAAAGACAATACAATTTGCACACAAGGCTCGTGAGGTCCCTTCACCACAGCTGCTCCCACAGCCACCAGCCTCCGCCTCCCACACGGTGCCCGGTCCCGCCACCCACACGCCTCAGACACTCTGTTGATTCATTCACGCAGTCACTCCTCAACAATGGTTTCCTGAGCGCCCGCTAGGCGCCTCGCACAGGCTCCGGCCCGGGGGTAAACACAGACTGATGCCGGCGTCAGGGAGCTGTCACTAGTGAGAGAGACACTCAGTAATGAATGGAGTGCCCACGACACGATGGTGCTGGTCCGGAGCCATTCCAGCCCCGGCCTTCCTGGCACGTGGTCACGGTCCACTCCCTGCCCTGAGGTTCCTGGGACCGTGTGGCCTGTTC